ATTAAAGACTTCACTATAAATTATTAAAGACTTAAATAAAACTTTAAACATATAGAATTATTTTTATGGAAAAAGCTACAAACTATACAATATACAAAGAACATGAATGACTTGCATAAAAAGCAAATTTACCATTTTTGTATATGGGCAAATCTTTGCAAGGAATATTTTACCAAGGAAATCCTGAAGTCTAACCACACCAAAATTTTCAAGAGGGCTCTGCTAAAAATGGATACTTAGGCTCCACAAATCTACTGAGTTGGAATTCTGAGGATGTGTGAGAATCCGAATGAATGTTAATCACTGTGCAGGTCTAACCTGGGTTAGTTGCCCACCAGAATCAGGTGAAACTGAGAGCATTCGGATGCCCAGGCCACACCCGGAGTTTCTGCGCCGGGCATCCATGTGTCAGCAGTTTTAAAGGTCTTGGGTGATTCCTGTGTGCGGAACAGGCTGAGGCCAGCAGCCTGGGGTCAGGACACCTCCAGGGACCCTCGCTAGTCAACATTTCCCTCTGGTGTAACCTAGTACAATTCAAATGTTGCCATGGTTAAACAAGACATGACTTCCTTACACAGGATTATACAATATTCATTTAGTATTCCCAGCACCCTGGCTGACACAAACCAGGTTTTGGGTGGTCATTTTCTGAAATAAATTCAACTAAAGCAAATGAGTTAATATAAATGAACAAAATTTTCACCAAGTCCTAAAAATTCCATTGGATTAACAAATCTGTATGGCACTGAGGCACAATAGTGGGCTGTGAAAGGCGCAGAAATGGACACAATACTGCCCTCTATTCAGATGGTCATGATCTGGGAGGGAGGCAGATGCGGACAAACTCTGTTCAACAATGAAGCAACAGTGACAAGAGTTCAGATAGTTAAAAGGGAACAGGAAATAAAGGAATTCTGAGTGTCAGGAGTTAAAAAGGGATTGCTGGGCTGGAGAGATAGCTCGGTGGTTTAAGCACCTGCCTGGTAAGTGCAAGGATCGGGGTTTGATCCCCAGTACCGCAGTGCCAACAGGGAACCAGGCATGGTGGTGCACACCTGTAATCCCAGTGAGGGGAGGCTGAGATAGGAGGATCACTATGAATCCGAGCTGCATAGTAAGACCCTGTACCCAATATATAAATAAATTAAAGAATTTTAAAAATTAAAAAAAAAAAGACATTGAAGTTTCAGTGCCCAAGTTGGCCTCGAGGTGCGGCTGGACCTAGGCAGGAGGAAGTGGGGGAAATGGGTTGTCGGGGTGTAAGGCAGCCAGTTCCACACAGCAGTAGCTAAGTCAGACAGGCCTTTCTCTAACCTTCATGCAAGGCCGTGAGGCAGACATTACAGCCTCCTTTTCTTTCTAACTGTCTGGTTAGTGCTCTCATTTTTCAAATATTTTGCTCTGGTTTATTAATTCTACCTCCCAGTGTGCCACCGTTTTCTTCTGGGAAGAGTTTCTCATTAGCATTTCTATAGGGAGCACCTGCTGCCCCATCTATTCTTATTAACTGCTGGCTGGGGCAATGGGGTTGACTGGGAGGAGAATTCTAATCCCCTCCTTATGACTCCTGTTTCCTAACGGAGAAACCAGGTCTAAAGTCACAAATGGCTTCCCAGTGAAATCTAGCCTTAACATTAAAAATGGTAATAAAGACATGCTTCTCAATTTTATAGTGTCATCTATGTAAAAGGAGTGTATTAAAAATTAATCAACCTCATAACTGTGATTAATTCTAAAAATACCTCAGATGCCACTTCAATGCAGAAATGCTAGCATGAATAGATTATGAGTCAGATCAGCTAAAATAAGGAAGATTTCTCAAAACTATCGTGTCCAAGCATTTTTATATTGAGATATATTAGTATATATTATTGTGAATATTGAATGTACCTTTTACACTGTATACCAATATATTGTGCTGATGAATTATGTATCCCTTCTTATGGCAAATTGTTCACATTGGTGTCTTGTGACAGATATCACTTATAAAGCCCATGAGAGGAACCGGTCACCATGGTGTAAACTCACCATGATTTATGTAAAGTGACAGAAGAAAAGATTCTGTAAATCAAATTATCATCGAAATGGAGCTTCATTCGTTTCTACAGGGCTGCAGGGCCATCTGTAGCAGACATGGGGCACATTTAAATTAAATTCAGGAGAAATCCAGAATCATGACAAAGAAGAGAATGTGAAACAACAGCAAAAGTAAACCAATATTCCAGAAAAGTCTCTGACTTCCGAGCATTTTTCTTGTATATTTAATTTATCAAATATCTTGTTTTTCCTATCTGCTTTCATCCAAAGTACATTTCTCTATTATTGGTTAATGTTTCTTCTGGGACAAAAATTAATGTTAAATTTCACATCAAATACGTCATGCATTCAAATTGCTCATTAAAGAAATCGATGTCTCTTAACAACACTTGCTCTTTTTAATGTTTCAAAATTTATTTGGTTACACATCAGATAGACCCGAGGTCATATGTACGATTTTTTATAGAAGACCTGAATTTAAATTTTTTTTGAAATATTCAAAGATTCTTCTTGACAGGTTGATAGAATTCTAATTGCTACTAAAAATAGCTATTCCTCACCTGCAGCTAAATCAGTCTCCCCCTACTCAATCTAGTCATTTCCAGCATGTGTGTGATTTGCCTGTGTATCATGACAGGCTTATTGTAGTGTTAAGGTTTGTTTCAGGGAAAAATGCTATACAGAACAAAGGCATAAAGCAAAATTTGGAGCCAGTTGTATCTGATAGGTGTGGTCATTCCCCGAGTACCCCACCATTCACAAACAAAGCAAGTCCTAACAGTCTGGAAACATAACAGACTTACTGAGTAGGATCATCCAGAGGTCTTCGACCCTGAGCTCTCTCTGGATTGGCGCTGTCTACGGAGGAGAGAAGGGGTAGCACCTGCCTGGTGGGTGGGGGTACCCACCTGCTGCAGGTAGAATGGGTGTGAGAAGATGCACTTGGCAAGCCAGGCACCTGTGGTGTTGAGTTAGCCTTAATGTTCTCAGAGGATGAAGTAGGGCCTTGATAACAAAAAAGCTGTGGAACAACTTGAAAACATCTTGGTTTTGTTTTTATGTCTCTTGTTTGTTTGCTTCATTTTTTTTTTTTTTTTTTCCTTTAGGTCCTCCCTTAGTAGCTGCATGAAAACATGAAAATTCCACCTCCTTGTGGCTATCCAAGGAAAAGGACATGTGTCCTTGCTTGACCCAGGGCTTTAAGAGGAAACAATGCATTGCTGCAGGTAAAATGGGTGTAAGAAGATGGTGTAACCAGTGAAGTTGTGATGACAATAAACCAAAAGAGAAAGAGAGACAGCAAGTAGGAGGTGGAATTTAGTAAGGCAGGAATGCTGAGGCGATGAGGGGGTCAGATTCTGTCTTAACAAGAGAAGATGCCTGCATATGCAGTCTTCTCCGTATATGAAGGGGTGTTTCTCATGTCCTTGGAGGATATTGGTTTAACATGAGGGATCTCGGCAGAAGACACTAGCTCTGCAGTCCTCTCCACCACACCCTTGTGCAGGAAATAGACAACTAACTGGCCATGGCACTGATGACAGGCCCCCTGTAAGGCATACTATGAACACCTCTATCTCAATTACTCATCATGCACATCTGTTTCCTCAGAGACTCCAAACACAGTGAGACATATTCAGAGCCAACTGTGACCTGTTAGCTAAGCAATGCTGGCTGAAACACAGGGCAGGACTGAAAGCTAAGTGCTCAGATATGTATGTATTGGATGGTGAAGAGCGAGAAAGCATACTGGAAGGACTGAGTTTGCAGCAGAGAGAATTCTAGAAAGTGTGTGTGTGTGTGTGTGTGTGAGAGAGAGAGAGAGAGAGAGAGAGAGAGAGAGAGAGAGACAGAGAGAGACAGAGAGAGACAGAGAGAGACAGAGAGACAGAGAGACAGAGACAGAGACAGAGATAGAGGGAGGAAGGAGGGGGGTGTTTCAATGATTGAAGGCATTCATTTATAAGGTATTTGAAGGTGCTAAAGATGGGGTTCTTGGTGGTGAGAGAGTAAGAAACACATCTGGAAAACATTACGGACATAGAGAAACGAGGAGATGCCTCAAGGGGAGAAAAGGTTGGAGGCACCTAGGAGCGCAAATCAGAGTCAAGAAGCACCACTTAGAAGGTCAGGATGGAAACAAAACAAATTACCACTGTGCCAGGTCTGAAAGTCCTTGTGAATAGTCTCCCTTAATCTTTACAATGTTTACCTGCCATACAATAGGTATGCAAAACTATATTGACTAGTTAATCTTAAATCAATAAATGAACAATCTTAAGAGATCTGTATTATCACTTACATCTTACAGATAAGGACAGGAGGCCCAGAAAGGTCAAGAAACTTGCCCAATGTGTCACAGCTAATAAGAAGCAGGAGGAAAATGACTTCAAAGGCAAAGTGGTAGAAGAAAAGGGTCTATGGGGAATCTAGAAAAGGGTGTGGCACCTGAGTGTTGCCTAGGGATTGAGGCAGGAAAAAAGAATGCAGGGTCCTTCGAAGTGAGCTAGCAAATCCCCGTGAACTGAGTTAGGATGACAGGTCACTTGGACAGAATTCTAGAGTAATGAGATCCCTGTGAGAATGCAACAGGGTGGATGGGGGACAGCTGCGCCAGCTAGGGCCAGCATCCAGCCCTTGTTCATCCAGCAGGTGAACTAGGTGGTGCGGGAGAAGTCACCGCCTGGCTGTGAAGAAATGGACATCTCTCTGTTGGGCAGGCAGAGACTGCGAGTGGGAGAGGGTGGGGAAAGATAGCTAAAGTAGTGACAAGAAAGAGCTGGGCATACTGGAATGCATAGTCCTAACACTTCTACACAGGACAGGAATGGAAGGGGAGTCGTCATTAGAGGGGCCTGGGATGCCGCAGAGGAGAGGGTGTGGTCTGGGGCAGGAGAGCAGGTTAGGTGTGAGGCCTGTGAAGGGAGAATGAACCCTGTGCACCCCTGCTGCCGGCATCTCACCTGTAGGAGCTGCTCACTGCGCTCGTCACCTCCTCGCGGATTTGCCGGTTGAGGGCGTCCGCTGCTGCACGCCCCTTGCCACTCTCCATGACCTGGGCCTGGGTACCGGGCAGTGGCGTCTGCTCGTGACCCTCGGAGCGACGCACCATCCAGGCAGGCCCAGCCTTTCTACGGGTGTCGCGTTCATCTGCGCCTGACGCCTTTCCAGCCGCCGGACCGCCAGCTCCCTCCTGGGTTTGGGGCGGGGGCAGTGGCGTCTGCTCGTGACCCTCGGAGCGACTCACCATCCAGGCGGGTCCAGCCTTTCTACGGGTGTCGCGCTCGTCTGCACCCGACGCCTTTCCAGCCGCAGGGCCACCAGCTCCCTCCTGGGATTGGGGAGCAGGCAGTGGCGTCTGCTCGTGTCCCTCGGAGCGACGCACCATCCAGGCAGGCCCAGCCTTTCTACGGGTGTCGCGCTCGTCTGTGCCCGACGCCTTTCCTGCAGCCTGGACCCCGGCTTCTCCGGGCGCCTCCTGCTCTGAGGCCCCAACAGAGACTTGCACCGGCCAGCGCTCCTGGCTCTGGGGCCGGCGCTTAGGCGCCCCGAAAATAGGCGCGGAAGCCTGAGAGGGGGCAGGGATCTGTACTGGCTTGGGGATCCACGGGTGGTCCCCGCGGCGCGGCAACGGCCAGGCGCGGAAGTCCTTCTGGTACTGGGTCTCACGTTCGAAGGGCGCGTCCGACGGCTGATACTCGCTGCGCGGCCTGCAGCTGGGCTCGGGCCGCTGCACCTTCCAGGCGCGGTAGTCCTGCCGCATCACCGAGTCCGCCGTGCCGGACCCGGAGGTGGAGCCGGAGCCCGCGCCCAGGCCCTGAGCGCTCCGGCCGGGGGCAGCCTCCCGCTCGCCGCTGGGCCCGGGCGCCGGCCCCGTTGCCCGGGCAACTGCATCCAACTCGCCCTGGGCTGGCTGCGTCTCTATGGCGACCGCGCGCGCCGGCTGCGCCTGCTGCTGGGATGGCGGCGGGGGCAGCGGTGGGGCGCCCGGGTGCTCGGTGGCCTCCGAGTACTTGGTGAACACCAGCGGCACTGCTATGTCCGCCTTGTCCAGCTGGTTCCAGAAGCGGGCGATGCAGCAGGCCCGCGTAATGCACGGCCACGCCATGATGCTAGGTGCAAAGCCGGCCCTGCTTCTCTTTTTGTGGCACTAACGAGGGATTTTAGTCTTGCTTTTGCCCCTGGCCCCCACCCGCCAGTGTGTTATCCCACCGCTGTCTCTCTCGATCCTCCCGTTACCTCGTCCTGCTCCCTCTGGAAAGGGAACAGTAAGATAGTCTATGAAGTCCCTGGATTACCGGCTGCAAACGCCTTCGGAAGCGCAGCTGCTGCGGGCGAAGAAGGGCGAGAGGAACTGCGTCCGGCAGGCCCTAGCGAGGGCGTCTGGGACGCGCCCCTCCTGCGCTGTGGCGCTCGCAGACCCCGGCAGAACGAGGCGGCGAGGCGAGGCGAGGCGAGGCTAGGCGAGGTGGCCGCGGGGTTAAGCCATGGCGCAGAGGAACGGCTGGGCGGTGTGGCTGTGGGGTCCGCGGACCCAGCTCGATTCTCCTTCCCGCTGGTGTCCGGGTGCAGCTGTCCACCTAGCAGGAGTTGGAGGCTGTCAACCTCCAGCGGAGACGGAAAGCTGCCGCCGCGACCGCGGCAGGGGTGATGCTGCAGCCACTGTCGCCGCCGACTCTGCTGCAGAGAGGCGGCCCCACCCTTTCCTGCCGCTCAGTAAGGGAGGGAAGATGCTGAGAGAAAGAGCGCTGCAGAAAAAATCACCTGCTGTCGTCAGCGCGCTGCTGGAGCTCGGCCTTTCTTTCCCCTCCTTCCGTGGCTCCTCCCTCTTTTCATCCCGCAACGGCAGACCTGGGGCCTTGGTGGGTTCAAATCCTGAGCTCCTGCCCGCTTGTCATTGTTTTGGTCGCCTCGCCTTGGGGAACCTGAGGGTCCCTTTTGTAAAATAGGCCAATCATTGGAGGAGGGGGATAGTTAGTAAATTTTAAAACATTATGAAGGAAACCCTTAGTGAAATGTCTGTCCAGAATAGATTCTTTAAAAAGGGAGCTGCTGCTATTGGCCAGTCACCAGGGTGCATTTGAACCTAGTGTGGCTGGCCCTTGCCAGTCTGTCTTCTCCACAGACCCTGCTCAAATGTTGGGGACTCTGAGGCCCAGGGCTGGCCATGTCGAGGCCCCTGCTTACCTGTGGGATGGGTGGGAAGGGGTTCTTAGTCCTCCTAAGAGCTACTGGTCCTTCTTCAGCCCAGAGGCTTCTGCTAGGGTGGGGGTGTGAAGAGAAGATTCTAGAAAAGTCTAAATGAATAAGGAGTGGATGGAGGATAGTTCCCTAGGAAACGGAAGAGCCTCATCTGCCCAGCTTTTTAGAGTGTTCTTGCTTCCTTCTTCCAATCTAGGGGCAAAATAGATTTTGTAATTCAAGGAAGTTGGTTGGGCTCTGACACTATTGGAAGGTGGGTCATCCCTGGGCCTCTGTCCCCTCATCTGTAGAGTGGGGGAAATGGGAGCCTCCTCCGAGTGGTTTGTGAGGCCCTTGAGGACTCAGAGCAGCAGCAGAAGCTTTGGGACAAATCAAATCTTCAGGGATCCAAATCCTGCCTTTTGAAGTCCTTGCTGAATAGCCAGCGGTAAATCATGCAATTTTCTGTCCATTAATTTCTTTTATTTTTTATTTTTTATTTATTTTGTGTGTGGCCTGCTCAGCCCACCAGGGGGCGGGCGGGCTGGCATGTGGTGCTGGGGGATTGAACCAAGGTTCCTGTGCTTTGCTTGGCTTAGCTTGTTCTAAGTAGGTGCTTTAGACCACTAAGCCATCTCACCAGCCCCTTGACCATTGATTTCATGTATGAATGAGGAGGGCATTAATTCTGAGTTGCAATGTTATTCTGAAAACTAATAATGCACCAAAAGTGTTTACTACATGTGGCATGTGTCAAACGGTCAATAACAGTACCTATTAGTATTCAAAAGACCCACTGGAGGATTCATAGATGGCGCTTCCCCAGCAAGATTCCCAGACGCCCTCTCCACTAGACCTCTTATACCTCCAAGAATCATTTGATCTCTCCTTGTCTTTCCATTTGTGTCCTGTATTGTCCCCCTCTTCCCACCACTAACCACATCACACAGCCTTTAACTCTTTTCCTTTTCAATACAGATAAAGTTTTCAGCATCAGTTAAGCTGAGGTGCTGGCAAGAAAGCTTAGTGGCCTAAGAGCTTGCTTAGACAAGCCCAGGGACTGGGGTTTCACCACATGCTGCGCTGGCCCCACCCCTGGGTGCGCTGAACCAGCCACTGAGATTGGGCGTGGTGGTGCACACTTGTAATCCCAGCACTGGGGATGCTGAAAATAGGAGGATCACTATGAGTCCAAGCTGCATAGTGAGACCCTGTCCCAAAATAGCTGGAGCACTGCAATTGCTGGGCAAGAAAGTCATGTGTGTGTTTATATTAGCAACTCATTGCAAAACACAGCCTCCCTTAACCTTAGAATGAAACAAGATGAGAAGACAGCTCTGATTAGTCAATTATCTGCTGAACTTCCTCCTCCTTGGGTCTTTGCCTGTTGGTGATTTAATTTGAATTTCATAAATAAAATGATGCCTGACACTGTCTTGCAGGGATTAGCAGATACATTTGTATAAGCCACATACTCTGGTCTGATTCTTCCTCCTCCCTGTACAGCAGAACTCCCTAGGTTTGGCTGATGTCTGGTCAATAATTTCCTTTTTTTATGTATAGATACAAGGCTCATTCTGGTGCATACGGTGGTTTTGAACTCATGAGCTGAAGTTCAGGACCTCAGCTGATCCTCCTGCCCCAGTTTCCCTAGCAGTTGGGATTATAAGAAGGGGCCACCATGCCCTATCCAATAATGATTTCAAAATATAAGGCAAATACTGAACATTAGAGGAGGTTGTGTATTCTGAGAGTCCCAGAGACTAACCTTTTTTTTTTTTTCCATTGGGTAAGTTTAGTTCAGTTTAACTCACTGTAGGGCACAAATAGATTTTAGATCTAGAGAAGCCCTCAGTTGAAAATGTGTTATGGGAGGACTGGGAGATGGACGCATAAGGAAATAGCCGAACAGAGGTGAACACGGGTGCTGAATGAATGACCAATGAGCGGTACAGGGATCCGTTGCTCTCTCAGTGTGCTCCATTGTACCTGGGGAGAAACGGCAGCTGGAATCAGGAAAAGATAGACAAGAAGACAAGAGCGGGGTCAGGTGGTGGCTCATCTGCCTGGTTGGTGAGATGAAGCCCCCACCCCAACCACAGTATGGACGTTTATTTATACCTTTGCAAAATTAGTAATATGTGGCACCAGATTGCCTAATGACTAATAGCTGACATTAACCAGTCAGGAAGCTTATCTCAGGACTGAGGTAGCTTGACTGCTTTAGACACTGAGGCCTAGTCCCACTTTCACATATTTGACCAATTTTTCAGGGTCCGTGGCTCCCAAGAGAGCAGGGGAAGTATAAGTAAAAATGTCAGTGCTGTCATCATCTCCTTTCATATGTATTCACTTGGGTTTTTAAAATATTCAATTGTATAATCTAATGGCCCCACAAAGCAGATAGGTTTTGTGCTTATCTTTTACGTGACCCATTTAGAGTCTATTCTGGCTGTAACAGTACACATGCCATTACTTGACTTTTGTGAACTTGTCTTTACCTACATTAATGCCACGTGATTTGGGTGGGGTTAATCCTACCCCATTCAGATTTTAGGGCTGATCAGATAATTCATGACTGTTTGCCAGAGAACTGCATCTCCTGGCAAAAGTAACTAGTTGAGTAATAAGCGTCTAATCCACAAAGGGCT